TGTCCCCCCTCCCCCCGCTCGCCCGAGAGCGGCGCCAGCAGCGGTGGCGGCTATTTATAGCCCCTCGCAGCCCTCGGTGACAACTGAATATTTTGCCCAGATATGGGCGGGAGCAGAGCCCGCAGCCCCGGGGCCGCGCCAGGCGGGGGGCACGGCCGTGTCCCTCCCCCCCTGGGCTTACCACACGGCTCCGGCTCCTCGCCCTCGCCTCGCCTCGCCAGCTCTGCCCGCGCCGGGGGCTGAGACGCGCGCCCTGCTCTGCGTGCCCGGCGGGAGAAGGGGCCCGGCAGCTGCACCTCCCCGCGCCTGTCACTCAAGCGAGGGGAAGGGCCACCGCCGCCGCTCCCGCCTCCTCCCTCACCCCCCGGCCCGGCCCGGCAGCTACGGCGGCTTGGGGCGCCGTCATACGTACCCTCCAGCGAGCTACCACAGCCACGCGCCGCTGCAGAGCTCACCGCAGCCTCCCCCGCTTCTTCACCCGCAGGTTTCCCTCGCTGCGTGCGGGTTCTGTACGTGCCAGTTCGCTCCTAGGCGCTGACCCTTTTGACACCCAAAATTCGTCATCTGCGCGGTAAATTCACTCTTATGCGACCCGCGCGATGGCAGCCGCTGTGTGCGGTGCGCTGTGGGCGTGACGCGCACCAAGGTATAGCTGGATATACGCTCCTGTGTAGTGACAGTAGTGTACCCTACACGTAAGGGTTTAGGTGGCTTGAGCATTCAAGGTCACCCAGTGAGTAAACGGAGGCTCAGTTCGTAGTAAATGTCGGTGTTGTGCATCATAACAATAGTGTTTATGTACAATGTACACAATATTTCTCCCCCCAACCCTGTATCAACTTACATTTAATTATGGCCCATTCTCCAGTCTTGTGGCCCCTATATTGACAAGTTCACTCCATGTCCTCAACCCCTATTCCTAGTCACTGGTCAACTTGACCAGCTTCTTGAAGCCTGCGCCCAAAATTAACTACAAAGCCCCACAAAAAATAAATCCCCTCTCGCACACAGCAACCCCCAGATGACTAACTCCTCACAGCTCACCATGAAATGCCTACATTTGCACCTACAGCAAAAGTGGGCAGAAGCAAACATCTACTGCCAGAGAGATCCTCAGAGAAGTCCATAAGAAGATCAGCTGCAGCATCCTCAACCACACAGAGATGGCAGCTCCTCCATATACGCAAGATCTGGAATAATGTGCCCTACTTTAGCATCATCAGATCAAGCCGCTAATTGCTTTCATCACATAAACTCAAGGTTAAAGACAGAGATCCCCAATTGGCTTCATCTCTTGTACTCACCCCTTAGGATTCTAGCCTGGTTCTGCAATAGGGTAGATCAGTATCAATGCACCCTTTAAAAAGTTCAATGACTGCTTTTCCTTTTCCCTTCCACAGCCCCTGAACTTGCCACTTGAGTCAGCTTCAAGGCTAAGGCTGAGAGGCAGGGAGGGTGTGTGTGTGTAGGTAACAGCTTGCTGCTTTGCTAGATCTGACATCACTTGAACAGTGAAACAGAAGAGGTTAGCTGTGGGAGAACAAGACAGATGTGAATACAGATAACAGGGAATGCCATTTGTGGACAGAAGGCTAAAGATTATGTTTGGTAGTTAAAGAAAAAAGAGAGAGAAGGCAAGAAAGGGGCAATAACATTGAGAACTTTTGCTAGTTGCTTACCCATAGTTCTCACACCCCCAACCACCATGAACCCTGGAGACACCCATGCTTGTTTAGGCACTAGAAGCAGTCTTGCCATATGGCTTGGAGTGCCACATGGGCAAATTTATCCTGTCAGTAAATTAGCCAGTACTGAACAATTGAGACATGACAGTGGAAGCTAGATCACAAACAGCAGCTTGTTGTTCAAGGAAGCCATCAATCCCTGTTCTAGTCCAGTCATCCACACACACAAAACCCATGTGTTTTTTGGGAGGGACCTTTTTTATTTTTGAAATTTATAGCTGAGGTGTTAAGGAAGAAATCTGATGGGGGGGGTCACTTTTCTAATCTTGGCATTTGGCTGCCATGACTAAGGAGATGAATAAATGTCAATATCTCAGTACCTATGAAGCCAATTTTGATTTCCTGAATGTCTTTAAATAGGTATTGCAATAACCTACAAACCTTCTTTGTCTTTTGATGAGTAATGGCCCATTGTTTGGCAGCTCCAACCCTTTAAATGCAAAACAACATTACAGACTACTTCTTAAGGCATGACATATAGCCTAGAATGGTATCTGCTCTTAATGTTTTGGTAATCCTATCCTTTTGTCGTTATGTCTTATCTACATTACTTTTTTATTTCTTCTTTAGTGAAGGAAGAGAAAATGAATAGTTAAGAACAACAGATGATAGAACAGGGACTGGAACTTCCCAGCAAACCAAGAGGCCAGCACTTTTAGTTGCAGCACTGCCAGAATCAACCAAGAAAAAACCTAAAACTTTGGATAATAATGTGTGTCATATGCGAAAAAAAACTTCAACATCCAAAAAGAACCCCCTACAGCAACTTTCCCAGGATACATGGAATAAGCATGCACAAAGAGCTCAAGAATGGAAAAACTTATGCACAAGTTTTGATACGCTTTATGAGCGAACACAGGTCGACAAAATAAGCCAAAGAAAGTGCATAAAAACTGTAAGTTGAATGTTGTAGGCATTAACCTGAAGTGTGCACAAGAGGCATACTATCTGTTAAGTGTTGCAAGAGAGACTCACATTGAAATTACTGATGAACCAACTGCATCATGAGTAAGTAGTAGTTGAGAATGTTAGCTAGGGGTAGGGTCTGGGCAGTGCAGAGAGAAGCAGGCGGGTGGTGCGGGAGGTGCTGCAGACAGGCCAACCCAACCAGACCCTTGGGAAGGCAGCAGCTGGAGGAGAGAAGGGGCCGGGTGGGAAATGGGGGCCACCTTGGGGCTCTGCAGATTTGGGCCATGGTGAGCAGGCAGGGGCACCCAGTGGCACCTGAGGTAGGGTCCGATCCAGCGTGGCCCATGCAGCTCCACAGGGATGGGGCTGAATCCACGCCCAGTGCTTGCCATGGTGCTGGGACCTGTGGCTGCTCCAGAGAGCCCAGAGCAGCAACTTAAAAAAAAAAAAAAATTTAAACAATTTCCTCACAAGCCTCTTGGAATGCCGGGAAAAATGGCTCCGTGCGCCACTAATTGGCATGCATGCCGGGGATTGCCTAGCCCTGCTCCATGGTCCCAGTGCAGGAAGTTTGAAGATCATTTTGGAGAAGATGCTGGGTTTCAGCGCAGGTATCATAGAAATTATTTGTCCATAGTTTATTCCCCCAAGCATAGAGGAGCATATGTTGAAAGAGCAGTGAACAGTTGGGGTATAGACACTCCAAAACTGGTATGGACTGTAGCCAAGCTTCTTTACTCCAAGTATCAGGCGGAGGCTGGAATCCCATGGCCATATGGAATCAGCAAACTGAAAGAGGACAACACACCCAATGACATGCATAAACATGTGGCATTACTTGCTAATCTTCATTCTACTTTTAAAGAAGGTCCTGTGCTGGTTGTAGAATGACTGCTACCAGCTGTACACTTTATGTCTGAAGGACTATTACATCTAATCACAGGAAAAGAACAGTCACATTATCTATGTATGTTTACAACATGATGGGTAATAAGCAAACTCATCCAAATCCTGAAGGAAATTTAAACTTGGCACTTCTTATAAACATGTTCTTGATGAACTTTCAGCATGGACACTGCAGGAATGCTATAAATCTGACCATAGTTCAAAATTTACAGTAGAGACACCACAATAAATTCAGCATGGTCAGTTGTATCCAAGTGAAATTAAAGGCCAACCTTGTACTGTTGTCATGGATAATGGTGATTTCAACGAAGATGGGTTAACAGGCTCCAAAATAAGCTATTATACAAATGTAATTTATGGCACAACCAATTTAATTTCACCAAGAATTAACCATTTCAGATATAACAACCTTGGTTATACAAAAACCTCATGTTTGGAAAAGTTTAGTGTGCCCAGTTATTGCCAAAAATTATGAGAGTGGCAAATTACATGCTCACCCACAAGCACAAAGATTCAAGGTTAGTTTTGATGGAATAGTTGTGCACTGGCCCATGCACTTCTTCAAATGATGCAACCATGTGCATTTACTGGATATCATTGCTGTCTTGAAAGGAATGCTGTGAAGTGGGAACATACAATGTCAAATGTTATGCACGGCCTCTGAGCAGAGTGCCAAAAAGTTGCTGACCTGAAGATACCAGTGATTCAGTTGGCTGCAGATCAAGCAGTGTATAGGTATATTGAAGAGGCCCTTCATGAAGATTATAGAATCATGTAAAATAAGGGTTGGAAGGGACCTCAAGAGGTCATCTAGTCCAACCCTCTGCTCAAAGTAGGATCATTCCCAACCAGATCATCCCAACCAAAGTTTTGTCTAGCCAGGTCTTAAAAACTTCCAAAGGTGGAGATTTCACCACCTGTTCCACTACACTTTTAGTAAGTTTTTCCCTAATATTTAACCTAAACTTTCCTTGCTGCAACTTGAGAGTGTTGTTCCTTGTTCTGTCATCTGCCAACACTGAGAACAGTCTAGTTCCATCCTCTCTCAAACCCCCCTTCAGGTAGTTGAAGGCTACTATTAAATCCCCTCTCAGTCTCCTCTTCTCTAGACTAAATAAGTCCAGTTCCCTCAGTCTTTCCTCATATATCATGTCCCCCAGCCCCCTCACCATTTTTGTTGCCCTCCGCTGGACTCTCTCCAATTCGCCCACATCCCTTCTCTCTCTCTCTCTCTCTCTTTCTCTCTCTGTGTGTGTGTGTGTGCGCGTGCGCGCAAAACTGAACACAGTACTCCAGACGTGGCCGCACCAGTGCTGAACAGAGGGGAATAATCACTTCCCTTGACGTGCTGGCAACACTCCTACCAATGCAGCCCACTATGCTGTTAGCCTTCTTTGCAACAAAGGCATGCTGCAGGATCATATTCAGCTTATTGTCCACTGTGACCCCCAGGTCCTTTTCTGCAGAGCGGCTGCCCAGCCAGTCAGCCCCCAGCCTGTACCGATGCATGGAATTGTTCCGACCTAAGAGCAGGACTTGGGACTTGTCCTTGCTGAACTGCATGAGATTCCCTTTGGCCTAATCCTCCAATTCCTAGATCACTCTGAATCCTAGCCCTACCCTCCAGCGTATCTACTACTCCCCCCCAGCTTGGTATCATCTGCAAACTTGCTAGAGTTGCACCCTATGCCGCCTTCCAGGTTACTGATAAAAACGTTGAACAAAACTGGCCCCAGGACCGACCCCTGAGGCACTCCACTTGATACCAGCAGCCAACTAGACATTGAGCTATTGATTATTACTCTCTGAACCTGATGCTTCAGCCAAATGTCTATCCATCTTACAGTCCATTCATCAAGCCTGTACTTCCTTAACTTGCCTGCAAGAATGTTGTGGGAAACTGTTATCAAAAGCCCTGCTAAAATTGAAGTATATCACATCCACTGGTCTCCCTACATCCACAGAGTCAGTCACTTCTGATCATAGAAGGCAATCAGGTCGGTCAGGCATGACTTGCCCCTGGTGAATCTACGCTGTTTCTCATCACCTTTTTCTCCGCCAAGTGCTTAGAAATGGATTCCTTGAGGATCTGCTCCATGATTTTTCCAGGGACTGAGGTAAGGTTGACTAGTCTGTAGTTCCCTGGATCCTCCTTTTTCCCTTTCTTAAATAGAGGCACTACATTAGCCCTTTTCCAATCACCAAGAACCTCTCCTGATTGCCATGGGTTTTCAAAGATGATGGCCAGTGGCTCTGCAGTCTCATCAGTCAGCTCCCTCAGTACCTGAGCGTGCATCCCGTTCAGCCCCATGGGCTTGTATATTTCCAGTTTTTCTAAATAGTTCCTACCTGTTTTTTCACTACTGATGTCTACTCGCATGCTTTCCAAATTGTGCTACCTGGTGCAGTAGCCTGAGAGCTGGCCTTGCCTATGAAGACTGAGGAGAAAAAGGCATTGAATATTTCAGTCTGTTCCTCCTCATGTCACTAGGTTGCTGCCTCCATTTAGTAAGGGACCCACATTTTCCCTGATCATTATTTCGTTGCTTACATACTTGTAGAAACTTCTTACTTTTCATGTTCCTTGCTAGCTATAACTCCAGTTGTGCTTTGGCCTTCTTGACTCCATCCCTGCATGCCTGAGCAATGCTTTTATACTCTTCCCTATATATTTGTCCAAGTGTCCACTTATAAGCTTCTTTTTTGTGTCTTGGTTTACTGAAGTCTTCCCTGATAAACCAAGTTGGTCTTCTGCTATACTTGCTGCACTCTTTGTAAGGTTTCTTTGAAGTACAGCCAATTCTCCTGGACTCCTCTTCCCCTCAGACTGGCTTCCCAGGGGATCCTGACCATGAGTTCCCTGAGTCAGTCTGCTTTTCTGAAGTCCACAGTCCTTACTCTGCTGCTCTCCATCCTTCCTTTCCTTAGTATCCTTAACTCAAATGTTTTGTGATTACTACTGCCCAAGTTGCCATCCACTACTACATTCCCCACCAATTCTTCTGTTTGGGAGCAGCAACTCAAGAAGAGCATGGCCCTTAGTTAGCCACTCCAGCACTTCTGCCAGGAAGTTGTGCCCAATACTCTCCAAAAGCTTCCTGGATTGCCTGTGCATTGCTGTATTGCCCTCCCAGCAGATGTCAAGATGATTGAAGTCCCCCATGAGAAACAGCACTTGTGATTGGGAAGCTTTCACTAGCTGTTTGAAGAAGCCTCATCCACCGCTTCCTCCTGGTCTGGTGGTCTATAGCACACACCCAGGACAATATTACCCTTGTTGCTCTCCCCTCTAACCTTAACTTAGAGACTTTCACCAGGCCTATCTCGTTTCATACTGGATCTCTGAGCAATTGTACATCTCGTACATACAGTACAATTCTTCCTCCTCTCCTCCCCTGCCTGTCCTTCCTGAACAGTTTGTACCCGCCCAAGACAGTGCTCCAGTCATGCGAGCTATCCCACCAAGTCTCTGTTATTTCGAGCATGTCATAGTTCCGTGACTGGGTGAAGACTTCTAATTCTTCCTGCTTGTTTTCCAGGCTCTGTGTATTTGTGTACAAGCACCTGAGGAAAGCAGTCAATTGCCCTGATGTCTCAAGACATATGAGAACATCTCCCCTGTCACCCCTCCTGCTTGCTTTTCCTTTAGGTTTCCCGCTTCCCCACCTACCTCAGGACTTTGGTCTCCATTCCCTGGTAAGCCTAGTTTAAAACCCTCACTAGGTTAGTGAGCCTGCCTGCAAAGATGTTCTTCCCTCTCTTCATCAGATGGATTTCATCTCTTCCCAGCACTTCTTTCTCTTGGAAGAGCATCCTATGGTCAAAAAAGCCAAATCCCTGCTGGCAACACCCCCTGTGCAGCAGGTATTGATTTGCAGGATGCATCTGTTCCTGTCTGGGCCCTTTCCATTGACAAAGGATCGAAGACAACACTACATGAGCCCCAGACCCTTTCACCTAGAGCCCTGTAGTCACTTTTAATCCTCTCAGTGATGAGAAGGAATGTGCCTCCACAAACTAGTAACAGAAATTTACTGAATATGCTAATCCACAGGTACCTCCTGAAGACTCCTCAAGCAACTGACAGCTTGAAACAGTTGGTAGATATCACTACAGAAAATGAACATGATGAATTCATCAGTTCAACTGCTTTTTGGGAATTAGTACGTTCAGTGTTTGAAGAAGTGCTTAGTTGTGAATCAGATATGGCCGAGTATTTTCTGTCTTATATCACTGATGCTGAAATCCTTTTTTGACATTACTATCGTCTGAGGAGTGGAGCAAAATTTTAAGAGTGCTTATCAACTTCCACTGTTAGCAGCTAAGGGAAATGTCAACTATCTAGGATACCTGTCCTTGTATTACTGGTGAATGACAACATGGAGAATATGAAAAGGTGCACATGGCTACAATATTTTAATTTTTGGTGACTGAAAAGACTTACAGCAAACTGCCTCCAGACCAGGTCATTGAAATGACCATGAACAAAGAATCCAAGAACAAAAGTAGTGGGGGCCAAATTGGATTTACCAAGAATCTATCCATGGTTGCAGTCAACATACTCAGTAAACCACTTATTATGCAGTTAAGGGAAAAACTAAAACAGGTGCCTCATTTCAAGCAACACTTGTATCGCCATCCAGAACTGGGTCCACCAAGAATGGAGATGGACTGCAAGGTTGCTGATTCTGTGAAGACAGCTCTGGAAGAATGGGATGCGGACCCATGGGATCTGCATCGATGAAGGTAATGTGATGGTGGAAAACATTTTGGATAGACTTTCTTCCAGAACTCAGTCAATATATGAAATTTACAAGGAAAAGTAAAACCTTTGCGACAAAGACAACTGCAACCACGAGCAAGCAAGAGAGTGTAGGAAGATGGTTGACTATACTTCAGTGAAACAAGTCACTGACCTTCTAACCAGCAAAAAAAAAGACAACCATGACTTCAGAAGAAATCATGCAATACAGAATTACTGCTGAGCTCTTCACAGCAGATGGAATATTCCAGAAACCTGTCAAATCAAAGTTCATAACATCGATGAACCTCCAGTTGATCTCACCACCATCACATTATTGTGCATTAATAGATGTTGGAATGAAATGGAATAAAGTCCAAATAAAGTCCCACCAAGCAACACATGGTCTAAATATATCCTCAGTTTCTTCAAGTATGTCGCTGGCTGACACCCTCAAGCAGTGGCATTTCACTTCATTAATGCTGTTTATGATGAAGAACTGTTGAAGACTAGTACAAAACAGCACGAGCAGCAGCCTCACTCAAAGCTATTTGGGTTCCATTCCTAATGTCTACCCTCTTTCTGACCAGCAAATACCTACTGGAGCATCCTGGCACTCATTTCTATCAAAGCATTCTAAAAAAATGAGACAATGTTTCCTCTAGAATTAATGGTGTTTTTACTTCCACCACGCCGACCTATACTTCACAATTAATCCAATCTGTTAGGATTTAAAATCCGGAAAACAGAGCGTGCTTTGTATTGAAATCTTCATGTGAGGCTGACAAAAGGGCGTTTTCTCCATGCACTCTTGATTTCGAAGACACTTGTTTATAGGTTGTTGCTTGCTACATCAGTCACGTAACTAAGCAGATATGAACATGTACAAGAAGAAACCAGGAGACACCATCATTCTACTACTGCCATTCATTATTTCCCAAGTGTGATGTAGCATCTGCTGCTCTTGGGTCTTACAGATACATTGGAGCAGACAGTGGGAGGTTTCTTTGGCTGTGGTAAAGTGACATCAATGAAGCAAATCTTACAGTCAAAAGATATGATGTACATGGAGACTGCAACAACTTGCAAAAAAAGTGAGAAGCTCACTGAAGATCCAGTCCATAAACTGGCTTTGTTCATTGTGAGAATACTTTACAATGCGAGCGATAGTTCTCCACTATGAATGGAGAGATTCACAACATGCACAAACTTGTGATCTAACAAATTTTGGGTGGACATCAGTGTTGGATGTGTTGGAACCTGATGCATACTAAAAGTGGACTGCCAAATAGAATGAAATTGCCTCTAACCCATGAAAATGGACATTCAGATGAGCCAATTAAAGCTACTGTTCTAGAGTCATCTGAAGAAGATAGTGATACAGAAGAATACCTAGATTAAGAATATCCAGTGTATTTCATATTACAGACTTGACTTCAAATTTGAGTTGAAGTGTTTTATTTTACTTAAATGTATTCCATAATCATTTGTACCTTTGTTATTAATAATACTAAATGTGACTTTGAAGAAATAAATGGCAAAACTTTCCACTTGAAACAAGTACTCTTATTAAGTTGCCACAAAAGTAGCCAATATTGATGGTTTTTGCATTTAAAGGCTTAGAGCTGCCAAACAATGGGTTATTACTTATCAAAAGACAAAGGAAGTTTGTAGGCTATTACCATAACCATTTAAAATAGTTTAGAAAAATCAAAATTATTCATCTCGCTTGTTATGACCACCATTTTTAAAGACAGAGGCTAAATGCCAAAATTAGAAAAGTGACCCCCAGGCTAAATTTCATCCTAAGCCACTCAAAAATGATTTCAAGTCATAAAAAGGTCCCCTAAAAAAACCAATTCATGAGACAGACAGACAGACAGATAGATAGATAGATAGATAGATAGTCCATGCATTTTTAAGGGACCTTTTTATGACTGGAAATATATATATGATACATATATGATACATATATGATTGGACTATATAGGCAGATACATCCTTTTCTTTACTGATCCATAACCACAGTTCTTTGAAGAGGATCAGTTGGTTTTCCATACTAGGAAAAGCTATGTGGCTCACTACTTAGTTCCAGAAAGTCAGAAGTTTGCTAGGCATGGAAACTGGGGGGTTCAAAATGGCTTATAAAGTAGATTTTCAGTTGGAATTACAACCACCTGTTAGAGACTTTACAAACCTAGAAAATCAACAGACTGACCAAGGCTATCCTATGAAGCTCTGCTGTCATAGCTGTATCAGCCAGGAATGGGAGAGGGAAAAGAAAATAAATCAAGTCATTCCCCATCACCTGTACAGCTATGCTAGTCAAATCCTTGGTGTATATACAGCCAGACTATCATCTTGGCTTTGGTGGTAGGTAATGGGGGCAGCTATTCTAGTAAAAATAGACGTGTTGCATGCTCATTAGAGAGCTCTGTCAATGTAGCTATAACAGAAGAGGCTTTTCTACTGTAGAAAAGCCTTCAAGTGTTTTTAGTAGACAATTCTTGTAACCCTGGATCTGTACTTTATATGGTAGAGCCCTCTAGTCCACTCCTGAAAGACTACTGGGAAAATCCTTGTTTGCTCCATGCTCCTCTGCATCTAATTCACATTTCCAAGAATTGGTGGTTTCAAGAGCTCTTCAGAAGCAAAGAGGAATGTAAAACCAAACAGGTTGGAGGTAAAAATATTTAGATATTTAGATATTTTAGAATATCTAAATATTCTAGATCTAGCCAGGAGGGTAAGAATAGGAGGAAGAACCCCTGGGAAGAGGAATGCCAGCCATAAGGACCAAAAAGAGACCATATGAGCACATCGGGAGAAGCAGCCTTCCCCCCCACCACACACCCCTTTTTATATTGTTTTAAAGTGGAAGAGAAAGGAAGATGGCTTGAATGCTTTTTCTTAACTCAAACACAAATGCAAGGAAGCTTGCTGCATTCACAATGGCAAGCATCTTCAGATGTCCAGACTTGGAGGCTGTAGAAGAGATCAAATCAATAACTTCAGTTCCTGCCAACCCCCAGCAAAAAAGCATGTACATGCTTTAGAGCCTAAACTGAATGACACACTAGCTTCACAAATCTCCACAAATTTCAAATGTGAATCAGGGGTGTACTTGGTATTCAAATGTGAATCAGGTATTTATTTAACACTGAGGGGAGAAGCTGTGCAGCAGAAACTTTGTAAGCAGTTTAATAAGCCTCAAAATGTATTAGGTCTGAGAAGCCTAAAAAAAGTCCAAGAAGGAAAATAAAGGCAAGTTACCAGCAAATTTTAATGATAAATAACATTTTTGTTTTTTTTCTTGTTCTGTATTCTTCACTCCAACATTCTAATACTACAGTTGTAAACAAAGTGCAAGTTCTTGGAAAGTCAACTCATTGTAAAATAAAAGCAAAAAAGCCTGTTAAATCTCTTTCACAGACTGCAAGCATCCAATTTTTCAAACCTATTGCCTTCATATTAAATGTATATATGTGTATAATATATATTATTCATTCAAGACCATGAAAGAACAGTTAAATTTATCTTTAAAAATCCTGCTATATTTTTTTATTGCTAAAGAATCTGGATTAGTTGTTATGGTTTCAGAAGCAGTGATTAATTAGCCTTTGAAATCTCCACAAGATATTGAGACATGAAATCATGAATCCATTTATCAGTATCAGGTAGTGAGGTGTCCACTAAGTATGTTACTATTTTTCGGTCCCAAGAATTACTGCTTTCATTAACTGCCTGTATCAGTGCCACCAGGGGTTTCTTCTCTACATGATTTCGAAACACTATTGATGCTTCTTCTGACCACTGCTGGAATTCCACTCCTAGGACAAACAAAGCAAAGCATAAGGTCACTTAAAGGAGATGTTTAAAAGAAAGGTCCTTGGCAATTCTAATGCCTGAGACAACAAAGATACTCAAACACATTGCTGTCAAGAGAAAGAAGAATGCACAGTTCTATTTAAAGGGATACAGGTTATAGGCATATTGGTCTGCAGGCAAAAGGAATCAGAACTTGTGGGAGAGGTGATATCTTTTCTATTTCTATATTGGTTCTATTTAAAAGCACTTTAAAACCTTACTTTGGTTTCAGTAGAATCCAGCAAAATGCATCTGATTGTCAGACACTGCAGGTGTTGGGAAGAAGATGAAGTCACCTTCTAAAAAAAGTGTTACTTCATTAACCAACCTGCATCAAGTGCCCCTATGCCCACTGCACAGGAGTTAATTATTCCAAAAGGTTACCTTGCTATTCACTCATATCCGGGCAGCAGATAACTGGCAAAAGAAACAGGCAATGTATGTGTGGACACAAATACTACTAGGCAGCAGAATTCAGATAACTGAGAAAGGAGCTGTGTGGAAAGAGAGCAGGAAAACAAAAGGGACAGAATATAAAAGAGAAGACCATATTGCTCACGGAGGGCAAGGGAGTAGAAAAAGAAAGGAAATAGGCAAATATGGAAGAATAAGAGAAGGGGAGCTACTGACTTTGCTACCTCCTGCTCTGTTTGCTTTGACTCTCAAAGTCCCTCAAAAAGTCATTTTAACTAGACAGCTGGCAATTTCCAGAATCCCTGAGCAGCATAAGAGTTTGCTCAATTGAACCACCACCCCAGTATAACAAAAAAAAAAAAAAAAAAAAAAAAAAAAAATGG